ATATATATATAAAATTTAATTTAACAGTATTAATTAAATTTGTATCACTCCTTGGATTGGATCGAATTGAATTTTCGGGGAAACCCTATATTATTTTAGTAATTCCTTATCTTTTTTACATAGCGTATATATAGTGTGATTATATGTCTATTTCCTTACTATTTTAGAAAGATAACTGTGAGTGTCCATCACAATTCTTTTTTAATAGAAAAATAAAAATGAAGAAAAAATGAAAGATGTATACATCTATAAACGTGAAAATAGAGATAGGGGGCTAAGCATGCACTATTGATGGTTTACTTTGCTGCTTTTGATTTCTTTATAAGTTTTGAGAAAAAAACAACGCATTTGTTTACATGGGTTATGACTCGATTGTGTCCAAAATGCAGTCACAATAAAGTAAACCTTACCACGTCCTAAATACACGAGGGCATGAAACTTTATCGGGCTCGTGCATCTCTTTTACTTTTCTAATAATAATAACTTATATATGTTGGATTAATTAGTAGTCAATTCAAGAGCAAAATGTCAAACGTTGCAAGTGAACCAGTCGTTGCTTTTATGACTCTTTAGTTTCTTCACTTGCTTTTGAAATATAAAGTTAGAAAAGATTAATCTTTGTTATTGTTCTCAACAAACAATTTCTACGCATGATCATTTTTATTTATTCCTTTTTTAACCTAATTTTATTTATATTATGGGAGTGACATCTTGGTTTTTTGTCGAGTTTTTTTAAATGTTAGGTAGGAAACGACTTCCAAACGCTTTAACTAGACAGTCTATAGATAATCTACTATAACGTAAAAAGAATGGAATGATTGAACAAGAATTTAACGGCTTTTTTTCTTTTTTCTGTACACCTTTAAATTTTTAATTTTATACACTTTTAAAGCAAAAATAGAAGTTTTACCAATGAATTAAAGCTCAATCCACAAGAGTTAAATGAATAAATAAATCTATTTTAATTGCCTAACTAGCATCTAGTTCCCAATAAAAGAAGAAATAAAAGCATAATCTGAAGCTAGTGTATTTCATGTGTAGGGATTCTATTCCCCTTATTTGGTATAGGAACTTCCTCTTGTTTCTCCGCTTTTAATACAAGCTACTAGTATTACATTGTGTGCGGCGACTAAAGAATCTTCCATGCAAAGTTTTTGCTTCTCTTTGAAGTTTTAAGGTAGACATAAAAGATTTACTCATGCAAAAGTTACCCAATTTTCAGAAAGGAAAAGAGAAAGCAAAAAAGAGATAGCATAATATACCATGTTACACTATTTCATCTTATTTTAACATGTTGTAACTAGTAATCTTGCCATATTATTTTTCATACTACTAATATCATTTTTAATGAGTAATATATATCTCTAATTATCTTTTAAATTAAAAAAAAAAAAAAAGGCAGCTCGGTGCACTAAGTTCCTGCTATGCGCGGGGTCCGGGGAAGAGCCGGGCCATTGTACGCAGACTTATAATGCATTTCTGCAAGAGGCTGTTTCCACTGCTTGAACCTATGACCTCCTAGTCACATGACAACAACTATATCAGTTACGCCAAGGCTCCTCTTCTATTTTTTTTATAATTTATAATATTGATTTTTGATATTATCAGTGTATACATATTATACTGTTTGAATATAGAAGGAATATTAAAGGAAATTGGGAGCTTAGTTGGTGTTGATATATGTGCTGCATGAACTTCAATTAGAAGTATTCGCAAGGAATCGTAAGGATTAAGAGTTCAAACTTCACTTACTTTTAATTTAAAAAGAAAAGATACTTTTGTCTCATGATCAGAAAGGGTCCCACTCCTCATAAGATAAAATTAAATCCCTTTCATTTGGGTCTTACTATAAATAGTCAATATTACTGCTACTTCTAGTCACTACTCTTCCTTCCTTATTTCTCTCTGGCATTCATTAATTTCCATTTCAAAGCTTGAGAGATATATATAGTGTTTAAATTAAGTAGAAGATAAATTTATGGACAAGTTCAACTTCGTAAAAGATGGGGCCATAAAATTGCCTCCAGGTTTTCGATTTCAGCCAACAGAAGAAGAGATTGTGTTTCAATACTTGATTCGCAAAACATTTTCTTGCCCCTTACCTGCTTCTATCATTCCTGAAATCAATATTTGCAAGCACGACCCCTGGGATTTGCCTGGTAATTAACTTCCCTCCCTTTTTCCTTACTTTCTTCATTTTGCTTTTTTCGAAAATTCTTTATGGTGATTGTTAATATTTACATAAGAAAATTAAATTAACTTGGTACATAGTTTGAAAGAAATTGTCCATTAGGTTGGATACTTCATTTTACCAATTAAATTCAAAACTTGCTAACGTGCATGCATAATGATATATAGTTTGCTTATAATCTTATATTATTACTAATTTGATAGAAGAAGTACTAGAAAATATGGGTAAGAAAACATCTTGATGAGTATAAAAGAGTTTTATTCCTAAACTTAATTTTCAAGAATAGTTTAGGGTAAAAAATTCCATCACATACTGTATGATATATATATATATATATATATGCATGAGTTGAATAAGCAGAAAGATGTAAATTAATTAACTGACTTTAATTTGATGATACAGGTGATATAGAGCAAGATAGATATTTCTTCAGCAACAAGGAAGCTAAATATAGGAATGGTAATCGCTCCAACAGGGCAACTTTAGGTGGCTATTGGAAACCAACTGGTTTAGACAAACAAATTACATGCTCAAAAAGAAAGCCAATTCTTGGGATGAAGAAAACTCTGGTTTTCTACAAAGGAAAGAGTTCTCATGCTTCTAGAACTGATTGGATTATGCATGAATATCGCCTTGTTCTCCCCAAAAATCAACCCTTCAATTTCCACCATTTCAAGAAATCCTCTCAGGTAATTATATGATGCACCATCCATTTAAAAGTTAAAAGACTATTAATATTATATGTCAAAAGTTTTGCTTGAATTTAATATCATTTTCTTTACAATTGCAGAGTTCTATGGTTCAAATTGGAAATTGGGTACTTTGTCATATATTCATGAAAAAGAGAAATGGAAAATGTGATAAAAAAGAATACAAGGCTGATCATCAACATGTCCAAATACCAAAACAAACATTGTATTATGATTTTATGAGAGAAGATTTGAGTGATAGGGCAATTTCCTCTTGCTCTTCTTCTTTGAGTAATGATGATTCAAGTGAGGTTTCTTCAAATCCAAGTGGTCTAGTAGAGCATGAAGAAGCTAGCAATCGAGCTCTTTGATGTACTTTCATTTTCTGATTGATGCAATAATATTTTGTTCTTTTTCCCTTTTTAACACGGGAAATTAACCGTGTTCCTAGTTACGTACTCTTCACGTGACTCAAACCTGTAACGTGCCAGTTGATGGTAGAGTTATTTTATTTTCTATCGTAGAAATATTCAACATTGACAAATGGTTATTTATCCACATGCTTAATTAAGAGTTAGTATATCTTTTGATGTTGTATATTGCCAGCTTTAGCATGTCTTTAATCATTTAGAATAGTTAAAAGTTAAACTCGTTCGTAACGCTAACATATACCGTAAAAAATACACGTACACATGGTGCTAGAGTTTATTTTTAATTATCAGAAAATGATAATCCACTTTGTCGCTTGCTCTCAAAATTTAATTAAGCAATGAAATCCTTCTGAATACAGAACAAATGAAGCCTCCGAAATTAAGATATTAAGAAATAAGATGGAAATTATAAGGAATGGCTCAAGTCAACGGAGAACTCTATGTAGTATAAATTTTTGGAAATAATTAAAGATATCATACCCCTAGAGTATAATTTTATTCATACCATTGCTGTTAGCAAATTCTCTCAAATTTACATGTCTTTGACCTTAATAGATCTCCAACAAGAAGTATAATTCATGGTAATTTTGAGCAAAAGTAAAAAATAGATGAGTAAATTTAGACATTTAAAAAAAAAATTGGCACGTCCAATTCCCTTGGTCCACCTATGAGCTCTGTTAAAGCCCAGGGCAAATAAAGACGATTTGGAACTACAATGATGTAGAGAAAATTACACGACACGTCAAGCATTTACATTGTATTTATTATTTGTCGTTATACTTTCAATAAATTTACCATTCGTAGCTATATTTAATATTTATAGCAAATTCATGAAAGAAGAAATTAATTATTTTGAACTGAAACAAGAGGGCAACAAGTTCTCATAGCTTAGTTAGTTAGAGTGCCAGCTTAATTAGCAGAGGTCTCGAGTTTGACTCTCAACGAGAGCATTTTATTTTTCAATATTTCTGTATTTTACCTTAGTTGTATTCGTTGCGCGACCGAATACAGTCGATACAAGTTGTATCCTTTGTATACACCCTTGTATTATGAATACTAAGCTCTAAACTATAGTGCTTTATGAAAATTATAACGGGGTAAATATTAAGATATTTCGATTCGTAGACGAGTAATATGGACCTTTTTCCAAAAATTTAATTACCAAATTCTTACGGCAATTTTACCAAGTAGTTAAATCATTTGCATAATTCAATAATTTCCGGAAGTAGGATTAGAAAAAATCGTCCTTCCAATTTCCATATGTACATACTGAATGATGACAGAACTCGGAGGGGTAGTAAGAGGAAAAGCTAATGAGAAAAAAAGCATTAAAGCAGATAAGTCAACTAATTCAATGCAAAAAATAATTAAAAAGGAATTGTTTTTCCCATGAGAAAAAGTGAACCGAAGAATCCAACTTTTCGACATAATTTTCTAGCTATAAGAAGCTGCGCTGTGTACGAATGAAAGAGCTTTTGGAATCAAAAGGCTGTAACATTTTGTACTTTTTCTGCTGAAATTTTGATAAATATCAAAGGAGAGGTTGGGGAAGAAGCAAGCAAGGTATATACTCTTTCTTTTACTGTTTTTTTTGTTTTGTTTTTGTGCTAGATATATTCTTTCTTTTTCATTTTTCTCTACGTTAGCAGTGATAGCAGCAAAATATTATACGAACTAAAGCACATTTGCACATGCGCCCAATTTCTACTTTCTTTTGGCGGAAAAGTCCTTTGAAAAATGAAAAGTTTTCCCCATGAAATACAATGTAAAGCCGCAAGGTTTTTCTCTTTTCCCTTTTGGTTAAATTTCAATAATGTGAGAGTAAGGCTGTCCAACGGGAGGGTAGTGGGTTCTTAAGGGTTAAGAGTACGGAAAAGGTTATGAGACAGGAGGGGGTTCCTTAGGGTGCTTTTGTTAAGGGAATTAGAGCGTACGGAGTTAGGGTACTTTTACTGGTTTCCTATCAGTACCCCTACCGGTCATAATAAGGATACGGTACTTAAGAGTGCGGTATGGTACTTAGGGATAATTTAAAATTAAATTTTTTAAAAAATTATATTCAAATACACTTTAATGGATGAAAAAAATTAATACTTTTATTTCAATACTTATAAAATAAAATAACATATTTTTTTTTACAATGTACGAAAATTTTCAATAATTTCTATTGGTTCTACGCTTGAAAGTGATATCAATTGTTCTTTTGCATCCCCGCTATCTTCAGTAGATAGTATTTAACTATAGGCATCATCGCCTTCTTGAATATTTCTGGAAGGCCAAAGTTTCTTCTCTTCTAATATTTCAGCAAGTCTTCATTTCCTTCATCATCACAAATATTGTTTCTAACAGTTGTTCTAGGAAAACCTTGAAAAGCAGGATTATACGTTTCTTGTATGTAACGCCTAAACTCGGACTAGTTCAGATTTGTTTCAAAACGAGGGCTCCCCTCCATAACATTATTGTCAGGACCCAAAATTCGCTAGTCGTGATGGCACATAACCCAACCCGCTAGGTAAGCCAACTAATAACTAACCAATTTCAATAATATTAATAAGACAATTAAACAAAAGGAATTTTCTGAATCTTATACATTCCCAAGGACTGGTAGTACAAATCATGAGGTTCTAAGAAAAAAGTTTACAAAGCTAATATGAAGAAAATACATCTTCCGTTTGAAAAGTACATAAACAGAGTTTTATAAATCTAAGACTACCATGAACAAGAGGCAGCTACAACAGGGACGCAGGTGCACCTTCAAATCCAGCTCCCATCGAACACAGCAACAACAACAGCCAACATCTGCACGCAATGTGCAGAAGTGTAGTATGAGTACAACCGACCCCATGTACTCAATAAGTAACAAACCTAACCTTAGGTTGAAAGTAGTGAAGAGCTGGAACATGTCGGGTCCAACACCAGTAGCCAACAACAATTCATAACAACATAAAGCATATAAACAAGGAAATAACTCAGAGATAAAATGCTCAGTTTTTTCACAGTTTTTTCGAAAATAGTTCCTCTTTTCAAGAGTATCGGTGAAAGCCCAAATCCTTTACCGAAATCGTCGAAAAATATGAGATAATTTGAAACTGTAATTTTTTCCAAAAATCCTTTCCACAATAATAAGATGTTTCATTTTCTTTCCAGATAGCAAGTGTGAAATACCTCTCTATGCTCACATATCAATATGTGTAAAAAGTCATGAATGACGTGATACCGTACAACATGAGAAAAAATGCATCTCTATGCCTGTATGTCAAGTGTGCATGCCAATGCCATGTATCTCAGAGATGAATCATGTACTCACACTCTCAGAGTACTCAATCTCATTGTCTCACACTTTCCACTCATCATGTTCAACCACTCGGTACTGTATATGGCCCATACGGCCTAGGGAAGATCCATCCCGGAATATATACATCACTGATCATCAGTCACTCAGTACAAAGGAAGGCCAATCCAGCCCCATGGAGAAGATCTACCTTCAGGTATATAAATACTTCGGACAAGATCCATGTCCAGGGAAGATCCATCTTTCAATATAATCAACCGCGCTCACTGGGAGTATGTACAGACTTTGGAGGGGCTCCTACAGCCCAAGCACTATAATCTGCACGGACAACTCACGTGCCATAGTATCAATATCAGAATCCGCACAGACACGTCCTATAGTATCAATATCAGAACCCGCACGGACAACTCGCGTGCTATAGTATCAATATCCTCATAATCAGGCCCTCAGCCTCACTCAGTCATCAATCTCTCCAGTCTCTCTCTCTCTCTCTCGGGCTCACAATGTCATGAACTAGCCCAAAAATGATGATATGATGTATCAATAAATAACAACAGAGACTGAGATATGATATGCATATGAATGCGTATGACTGAGTATATAAAGCAATGAAAGCAAATAACTCAACAGCAGAAATGACCTCAGTGGGTCCCAACAAGATAAGCATGTAGCCTACACATGGTGTCTAACATGGATCACAACTCAATAGCTCAAATACGTAGAAATTTCATGATTACAGGTAAGGTCAGGTAACTACACAGTATCACAGAAATAATGGAGTCACAATTCACGCAGTGCACGCCCACACGCCCGTCACCTAGCATGTGCGTCACCTCAACACCAATCACATAGCACATAATTCGGGGTTTCATTCGTCAGCACTAAGTTTAGAAGAGTTACTTACCTCGAACAAGCTAATTCCAATACCGAGCAAGCCAAGCGGTGCTCCAGAAATTCCATCACGCGCGTAGGGACCTCCAAACGGCTCAAAACTAACCAAAAGCAACTCAAATACATCAAATAAATCCCAAGGAAACAATTCCAAATGATAAAGATCGAATCCTTAATCAAAACCCAAAACCGGCCAAAAATCACATCCTAGCCCGCACCTCGGAACCCTACAAAACTCACTAAATCCGACAACTCATTCAATTACGAGTCCAACCATACTAGTTTCACTCAAATCCGACTCTGAATCGATGTTCAAAACTTAAAAATTCATATTATGAACTTTAGGCCAAAACCCCCAATTTTCCTCTTTAAATTCATCAACCAATTGCTAAAAATGAAGATGGATTCATGAAATGTAATCAAAACTGAGTGTAGAACACTTACCCCAATCGTTGTGATGAAAATGGCACCAAAAATCGCCTCAATCCGAGTCCCACATCTCAAAATATGAAGAAAGAACAAAAACCTCGATTTTATAGCTTCTGCCCAGCAGATTCTGCATTTGCGGACAAGAGGTCGCATTTACGACCTTCGCTTTTGCGGGAAAAGGCTCGCATTTGCAAGACAGGCCGCTTCTGCGATGGCCATGATCGCATCTGCGATCGCGCTTCTGCGCTAGAAGTACCGCTTTTACGAAGACTCCCCAGCCAGCTCTCCCTCGCTTCTGCGACAGCTTAGTCGTTTCTGCGACCATCGCACCTGCGCAAAACCAGCCGCAGGTGCGGTCACACCATAACCAGCAGCTCCTCAGCAATGAAAACATGAAGAAAATGATCCGAAATCAATCTGAAACACGCCCGAGCCCCTCGGGACCCCGTCCAAACATACTATCAAGTCCCATAACATAATACAGACCTACCCGAGGCCTCAAAACACACAAAACAACATCAAAACTACGAATCACACCT